TCAGAAAAGAAGGCTAAGCAACTATTTCTTGCGAATCCGACCGGCAGAAGGCCCAGGGATGGCCAAGATTATCGTGATCGTGATGCAAATATATGGAAGGTGTCTGTTCCGGACTCCAGTTGTCTTTTGCCGAAGCTCAGACTCTGGCACAGGATCAGGAACATTGAAAGCTTTGGTCTGTCTGACGCGTCTGCCTCCGCAACCCGAAAGGAGAAGCGGCAATGGAAGATGAAGATGAAGAAGATGAAGAATAACTCCTTTCCTTGCCCAACTGTTGGACAGGTTTCTAAAAGGAGTTCATGCTACGTTGATCTTTCTGTTGAACTCTTGTTGGGCAGTGTTATTGCAGTAGATGATGCAACCGAGGTACTTAAGGTAGCGAACTTCCTTGAATGCATCAACCTCTTGTTTCATTCACCGTATGGGTTCTTCATAACTTTTGACCTCGATTCGTTAAGAAAGAGGTCGGTTTCGCAGCAGGATAGCATATGTAAGCCATCAGGTGAAACAGCCCAATACTCGTTTTACTCACTTGGACAGTATCACCTGCGTACTCCAGGTCAGTAAGATATCTAGCCGGATATTTTGAACGGCACACCCCCCTAGAATGAGACCCTCGTCTCTATCAGGATTAGTTCTGCTTTGGAAAAGAAAGTCTAAAACAATTTTGAATAGCAGAGGTAACAGCAAATCTTTCTGCTAAACAACACAATTGGGAGGCAACAGCTCAGAAGATCCCTTCAACTTTAACCGGAAACATGATTCTTGCTTGCACCTCTGCAAAAATGGAAATGATATGCTCGGGTATACAGTAGCTTTTCAAGATTTTTCATATCTTCGAACCATGTTATAAATCAAATGCAACCTTAAAGTCGAGGAATATCGCAAACTGTTGTCAATTTTAACTAATTTTAGTTGTCAGCATGACTTAATGATCTACGCAGAGTGAAAATTTGGTGAGTACATGAGTACCCATCCGGAAGCCTGCTTGGTTGACGCAGTCTCCCATCAGTTGCCTGCCTTGGCTTTTCTAGGATAATCCTGGAGAAAAATCTGCCGGAAATTCACAGTAATGTTACACCATGATTATTGAGAAACTCCGTAATCTCACCTCCTTTAATAATGGAGACAGTTACTTCAAAGTTTCATTCTCCTGCAAATCGTTTGTAGCTACAGATCTGATCAAACAGGGAATGAAGCTTTTCTGCTATTCCTGCTCCTCGATGCTTAATTAACTTCAGAGGAATTCGACGTATCCAATTGGCCTTTTTAACCTTGAGGTGTAGCAAAGTTTCTTGAATTTCTAATTTTTTAAATGAATCTGTTCTAACGTCTAATGTTGGCAGAGAATTAATTAACTTTGAGAAATGGCGAATCTGGAAGGCAGCTGCTGGATATACTTAGCGGATCTTTATAGGCGTTTCTTCTGGCATGCCTATGAAACAAGTTTAACGATAGACTTAGTGAATAAGGTCAAACCGAGTCTACCGCTTTCCGGACATCCCCGGAATAATACTCTCCCGTTTTAATAATGATCGTTACTCACTCTTTCTGGTTGCTTTGTCCACTTTAACTGATTTCGCCCTCCGAGAAAAGTTTCCTGTCCGCTGCAGCTCTGGTTGGCTACATGAACACGACGGCGATGAGCTGCCTTCGAGGGGGCAGT